TTGGCAGGAAAACTGACAATCCTAGTCAATCAAGATTGGAGTCGAGCGCACCTGTTTGTTTTTATATCTTTTTGTTATAATTTTTCACAAAGTGAACCATGACTAAAAGTGCAGGGCCAAATAATCTCTGCGGAATAAGAAATACAAATGCTTATCCAACTGCATACAGAATATCATTGACTTATCATAAGTGGTTCCCTTTAATACGGCCCAATCACATACTTTTAAAACACGAGACCTAATCAAAAGTCCCTCACTACTAAGGGTTGGGGCCATAAATTATCCCTGGGAATGAGATGGGCTTAGCCTAATACAACTCCATACCTAATAGAATTGATCTATCAGTAGTGCTTCATTTTAAACTGACCTATTTACAAACTTGAACAAATTATTGACCCATCATGCTATTGCTAGAAACTGCACGCCTGAGTCTCACATCCCCGACTTTATTGAGTCTAAACAATAAAATTCAGACAAAAGAGGAGTAAGAGCACTTACAAGACTGAAAATTAAACACAGTTCCAGTAATTCTATGTCTCCTGCGCCATGTTGCCACAGGGAACATAAAAAAGTTATAACAACTCAGTCTGAATATTCTGGCTTAGAACAAGAAATGAAAATTTGGATGTAAAGGCCTCGATTGAAAACACTTTAATATTTCGGCAAACAAACCCATTTCTGTTGGTTGTTATAATGCCTTGACCTTCCTGATGCAATTATGTTTTAAAAGCATCCAGCAACAAGTAATTACATATACATGTAAATATATATATATATATATATAAAAGACCAAAAAAGTGAAAAGGTATATTTTAACAAAACGCATTTGACTAACAGGTCAAACAACAAATGTTCTTAAACCCTGCTGACTGCCATTGGCGATTGCCAAATAAACAGATCACCAGGTGTAATAAATGGATCTTATTTATAAATTAATACCAAACAGAAAACAATAAACTTGCGGCAAAGATGGTATACCGCAAACAAAAGGTGCAAAGATTTTTGTACACCATATCCGGATTTCGACAATTAATGTCTCTTCAGTGATGTTAGGAATCGAGACGGTATTTGGAAGGCCATATAATTTACCTCAATTTAGGATAGACTCTTGAATTTTGAGGAGTCAAAATAGGATGAACGGATCATATAAACCCGAAGGCAAATATAATACAAGCCCAAACGAATAAATATAAACAAGGCTAAATTGAAAACAACGATCAAACCTATGATTGCGTTGGATAAAAACCGCAATTTTTATACGTGTGCATGCAAAACAAATTTCTTGTTAGAGGGGTCTAAATACAGCACAAACAACATTTTCCAAAAGACCAAAAAAGTAAAAAAGTATATTTTAACAAAACGCATTTGACTAACAGGTCGAACAACAAATGTTCTTAAACCCTGCTGACTGCCATTGGCGATTGCCAAATAAACGGATCACCAGGTGTAATAAATGGATCTTATTTATAAATTAATACCAAACAGAAAACAATAACCTTGCGGCAAAGATGGTATACCGCAAACAAAAGGTGCAGATTTTTTTACACCATATCCGGATTTCGACAAATGTCTCTTCAGTGATGTTAGGAATCGAAACGGTATTTGGAAGGCCATATAATTTACCTCAATTTAGGATAGACTCTTGAATTTTGAGGAGTCAAAATAGGATGAACGGATCATATAAACCCGAAGGCAAATATTAATTATAAATAAGATCCATTTATTACAACTGGTGATCCGTTTATTTGGCAATCGCCAATGGCAGTCAGCAGGGTTTAAGAACATTTGTTGTTCGACCTGTTAGTCAAATGCGATTTGCTAAAATATACTTTTTCACTTTTTTGGTCTTTTGGAAAATGTTGTTTGTGCTGTATTTAGACCCCTCTAACAAGAAATTTGTTTTGCATGCACACGTTTAAAAATTGCGATTTTTATCCAACGCAATCATAGGTTTGATCGTTGTTTTCAATTTAGACTTGTATATAAATTGACATGCAGGCAATAACAACAAAACAAATTGACAAAAAATTATTTCCCTAAGAAACCTATCCAACGTCATACTTAACGCTTATTTGATAATTAACGAAATGTTTTATTTTAATAATGACTGCAGTCAGGTTCATGCAGTGAAATCCGTAAAACCAATGTATGGACTTTTTAGAAAGAAATTAATAACTGTAGGTCACCGTACGACCTTTAATAATGAACAAAACCCTTACCGTATAATGATGTATAGTGACTAAAGTTTTCTTACATCTTGACGAAAGGTATAGGGAGTATGTTTTTCATTCCAACGATAATATTGAGAGTCTATTATTTATGCGGTAAAACGGCTTTTTTCTGAATTAAATAAATCTTTAAATATTTAAGCATATAGCAAATATATATTACGCATCTAATGTTTTAAACTAAAGAACAATAGGTGCGTTCAATACATTGCTTATGTTAACCACGTTAACACACACATATATGCGGGAATTGTTCAAGCATGTTTTTTTTCAAATATTTATTCTATTAATATGTTTTATGAATGATATTCTTGAAGTATGATACTGTTATTTAAACCAAAGAATTCATAATTATTTCTATTAACTAATGGGTATGCCATCGTCAAATTGTCAGCGTAGATTATCAAGAATTGCCTGACAAAAATGCTTCAATGAATGAAAAAATGTATGAAAAAAAATCTGATTCCGCAGGTAAGCTTAATAACCTGTATAGAACTCGGGTGTATGTACTCACTACAAGACTTTAAGAAGTATTACCCAAGGAGAGGCGTGATTCTCTACAAAAAGTTATTAAACCAACCCAATCATACATTTTTGGGGTCGTTTTTTACTTTTTTTTGGGGGGGAGGGGGGGGTTCAAAATTTATAAATAAACAGAAACCAGCGACAACTATTGAATTTCAGGCTTCTACCTTTAGACAGACTCAAACAGCATGTGACGAGGTCAAACATGTTAACAAGCGCTCAACCCTCCCGCTTAAAAAGACTCGACTCATCAGATCGCCAAATTAAAAGCACAACAACTTATAAAAAGACTAAAGACACAAAGTACTGATCTAAGAGTACTCGCAGTTCCTGAAAGCTAGTTCAGAGCCAATTACAACTAATAAATGAATCATGTTTCCACTATTAAAATATCAATCGGTACACATCCAATGAAATTAGTGTAAAGACGTCATAATTAGTCTGCGAAAACACGACCAAAATATCATTTTTGACAAGATGTAGGACCGTAAATTTTCATAAGTCTATAGAAATAAATATTTAATTATGTTTTAATATATTGATAACAAGATCAATGTTAGTACGGATAAATTTCAAAGATCTCATCACGATTATGATAACCTTATATAATAAGTCTGTTCAAAGGATCAATAAGTTACATGGATCGTATCTAAAGTTACAGACACTATACAGAACATCACAGAATATTAAGGATCCGATATCCCGTTGTTAATAAGTTTTCTAGCTAAGGAACAGTCAAACGTCCAAACAAATTAATTTACCAGTTATAGATAGATAAAAGTCATTAAAATCTATATTGTCAAAACAGGCATGAACACAAATAGCGAACGAGTTGGTATATATCATCACCGTAAGATGAAACCAAAGAAACATCATCGTCCGAACAAAAGGAAAAATTTACATAGAGAACGTCCCTTTTTGAAAGCACAGTTTTTGCTGTTATATAAAATTATTTATAGTAAGTTTCCTTTGGTAAATTTCTGCAGTATATCAATAGATTTCTTGATTATTAAACGCAAAAATATCATTAAGGTAAAGTTAAGTGATGATGAATATATCAATTAAATGGAGAAAATACTATACTGATATTCATTGAGATTAGCCCTAAACTGTTATATATAACAATAAACGAGCAAGTCTGTTATTAAAGGGGCGCAATTGATGACTTTAAGAATATCTACAATTTTTAGATATATTTCGTTCGTCTTTTATATGTTCAATCACATAAAGGTGTTTACATACCTCGGGACTACAAAGTCTCACTCAAAAATGGCCAAACATGTTCACATTCTAAACAGGCAAACCGTAAATTTTTCAATATACAATATTAAATCAATGTCACCTTTTTAAATGATGCTTAGAAACCGAGGAAGGGCGAGGTATACGAAGGTCTTCAACTGTTTTTTGTCGAATACAAAATGGTATTGTTTTTAAACTGCACTTAAAAATAGCCACAATTATAGTTATGAAAATTTTCACACTAAAATAAAACTTGTTTTTCATCCCTAGACGAGTTCCAAATTGTTAAGAAAAGTGACATATATGTGGCATGTAATCGATATTGAAAGCATTATCACTTCTTACTAAATTTGGTAGATCAAGACAACAGGAAGTGTTCTTACTGCAACATAGATACTAGTACATATATTATTGTTAAATTCGCTTGCACTTGGATCGTTACTCAATATACAAAACTTTTGCAGTAAATATTTGTAGACAGAAGTTACAGCAATAAATTAAGGCATCAGTAGTTAACCGATGTTTAAATCACAAAAATCGATTAAAAAGACGCAAAAAAGGATTCGGATGAACTCCAAAAGAAGCGAAAGATAGGCTTATACTTTAGTAATTACTGATATCACTCCCAGTCTAAAAAATGTGCTGATCAGTTCATGGTTACTTTGTTTATTTTAGCGCAGTTTTTTTTTTATTCTTTTTTTATTAATGTAAATCACCCGTAGGGCCTTCTTAGGTTTTTGTTTGATACAGTAGGTTGTTGATGCGTTCATCAAAAACAAGCAAAGTGGTTCATAAGGGCAATCTGAAAATCAGACGTGTCTTATGAATTTTCAGTTGATCGATGTAGTTCATGATATTATTTTGTTTACTATCGGGTACAATACATTTAAGAAGCTAAATTGCTTGGTTGACTTTGTTCCCGGAAGCATTATTAGTGAAGTAAGTTTATATATCTGTGATTGGCTAATAGTGATAGGGAAAATAGAGTGAAGATATAAAGGAGGGCATTCAAAAGACCAACAAAACAGCCAGTACCCAAACAAAATATAAGAACGATAAAACACAGCAACAACAAAACATTATATAAAAAACCAAAAAATGAGGAGACGAACCCCATCTAAAATCGTGATGACACAAGAGCTCCGGAAGATAAGTAATTTCTTATCCACATCAATTCTAAAGCAATTCAAAGTCCGGTTATAAGTCGTTTTCGATAATGTCATCAATCGACACGAAGAAGACGAGGAATTGGTTATGACATTTGGAACATAGCCGTAGTTATATGTGACACAGATATTCAATAACGGTCAACCAAATCAGGATGGCGTCGTAAATCTTTCAAAGAGATGAATTCCTTTTAACCACTTGGAACCCGTGATGCAATTGCTTACTATTAAGCAGTACAAATCTAACAAATATGAATCTATGTTATAATGTTTATTATGAAAACAATCGTTTTACATATGTTCTAATACACATATTACATTATAAATAACAACATTAGAAAATGCAGCAACAATTAAAAACAAGACTATCTTTGAAATAATAAAAGTTATGAAAGGTATTAGGATAACAGAAATAATGGATACACACATATGTTCATAACACTTGTATCTCACCACTGTTGATATTTGTGTTTCAAGTTCCACAAATAAATACATACGATGTACACCGCTTGAAAATTTAATATCTCTTCAAGGTTTCTTATGTGTAACAGAACCATCATGATGCTGATGCTTCTTGCAACTTTGTCTTTTCTATGTTTACCAACAAACGCAAAATATTTCTACTTTCCAAAAATACCCTTAAAGTTATCTTTATGGAATGACTTTCGTTTGTTTATATATTTAGTCTTCCCATCATATGATAAACACACATCAGATCGGTTGACCTTCCACCTGGGTTGCCACCACGAATTTTTACATGATCTGTCCTCGCAGATTTCCTCCTATCAATTCTTCTAATATTAATTACTTCCACTCTTGAAAGATGGCGCAACCTTTCTAACTGCTTCAGAATCCATAATCGTCTATTATCTGCGGATACGTATTTACCGTCAATTAATTTAACCTCAATCATTGGTAAGTCTTTGACAGACATAATCCCATCATAAATGTCATCTCGAACTTCTCCAATCAGGCGGCCATCTTTGAATTTGTTCGCAATAGAAACTTGAGAGAACAAAACTTCCGATGGCTTTACGTTGTAACAAGTCATTATGTAAATCTTCCATAAAATAAATCATAAGTAATACTAGTTTCAAAATCTGAGGTAGACTACTATTGTTTATACTGGTGAGATTATTTTATATACCCGATGAATGATCTAGAAAAAAGAATTTCCATACATATAGATATAACAATTGGAAATTACATAATATTAAAAATAACTAAACTGATAACTTTATATATATATGCATGTTTATTATCTTTGAGCCATTGCATTGTTAATGTAAATATACTATACAGGAATTTTGTTGATCTAAATAATAATCAGTTTATCATAAGGATAATATTATATTTAGAAAACCAAAGATATACAGCCAGGAGCATAGCATTGTTTAAACAAGTATCTTTCAAAATTACTTATACAAGTTATGTTTAAAAACAAACGCTCTTACATTTAATATTTATACTTCTGGGTCAAAAATTGGTCTTTTCGGACTATTGTAATATCATTTTCCATGCAAATCTTGCCGGTAGATAGATAGAATAGATGGAAACCTGTGATTTAGGTATAATTCTTAGTTTTATGTATTATAATAATTTAACAAATTCATAAAAACTTCATATAGTCTACATACATGCTTCTATTGAAATCTAAAATAATTCTCCTGAGTAATTTAAAACCAAAAATATCTATAAAGGTTGCTTGCTGGTTGAAGTAAAGCCCCTGACTGATACATATTTAGATATATATATATATATTTATTTAAATGTAAATGAATTTGGATTGGCAAAGAACATTGCTAATTGTAATTGTCTATTGTCAGGTACCGATTGCTTAATATTTTATAGAGCCTGAAACAATTTAAACGCAAATATATTTTTCAAAACTGTTTAACGTTCTCTAGGCTGTTTTAATCCTACTGAAGTTTAATTTATGTAGTAATGTATTGTAAAGAACAGCATGCGAATTGATTTAAATCATACAAAGTTCGTAGTGTTCTTTTTTTTCTTTGGTTACATATGGCTTAAGGACAATGTACGATTTGGTGCTTATTTTGCCCTATTAATTTGCCGAAAATTAAATGATTGGAAAATACAATTATTGGTTACATTTTAAACCTAATAACTGTAGACCTATATGAAAATGACAATATTTTGTTTGCTTGATAACGCAAACATATAGTGATGTCATTAAAGTGATGACTTAGTGACGATTTACCCAGTTCTTGGAGAAAGGCTAAATTTGGGAACATTTTGGCTTCATTAGGTAAGACCAAAAGTGTTGCCCAAATCATTTTTTTTTTTTTTTTTTTGGTCAAGCAGATAAACACAAAAACTACATCCTGTGTTAATATTTTTCAGCGAGGTTTGTGCTCTATATTATTGTTTAGCATATGTTTGTCAAATTGTCTCAATGTTCGGCCAATTTGCCTTCTTACTGAATTAACTACCTTTTGTGACCTTATTACCCATGAATGGCAATGGTAAAACCAAAATACAAATAAATATGTGACGATGTAATTATTTACAACCTAAATATTAGAACAAGCTTCATAATAATAGGTTATATGGGTTCTATTTATAATAATATGTTTTCGGCAATGCCAGGAAAATAAGGGTTTAAAATTCACAACTTTTTTGGGCTATTTAATTTTTGCATGTAAATCCCATGAAAAATACAAAAATGTCGTTTTCTTACTAGAAGATTGAATGTTGTTAGTACCAAATACTTCACGCATATTCAGGACAACACTTAGCTGTATGATATATAATATGTATTTCTACGAAAAACGAGAGAAAGGATCAGGGGTTTTAGTTTAGAATTCCAGTCAAGATAGTGAAAGAAAGGTTCCTAGGGACAGGCTAGCTAAAGACCTAGTATCAGAATGGATTAACATTGCAAAACGTGGCACTCATTTTACACGGACTCATTGAAATAACTGTCTGAATACCGTCAAAAGTTTTATATAAAAGACTATCACTTTCAATATTAAGGTATGTTGTATGCATACACGTGGTTTCTATAGTATTTCAAGCGTACTCGTTACTCTCTCCACTGTATATACAAAACTTATGTTACCTAAATAAAAATGCAGAATGAAACATTTCAACCTAACTTTTATAGATATATAAAAGAAAAGGAATAAATCATCAATCTAAACTGGAGTTAGCTATTAATTAGAGATCTTCTCCCAGACTAACGTATCAATCAGTACAAATCCAACGTATTAAGTGTAAAGACGTTTATCAGTCGGGTAAAATCATGACCTTGAGCAAGGCCAAAAAATCAGGACATAATATCGAATTAGGACCACAGGATTTCATATTACTTCTGTTTAAAAAAAAACAGAAAATTTTATTGTGCGATTACATTTTTTAACTATGCCATATGAGGTGAGATAACTTAGATAACGTGTAGGGAATTTGCCTATTTTAATGTAAACAAAAAACGAGTCCCGTGACCCATATTTTTGTTTTTCTTTTCTGAAAGCGCATTTTAAATATTTAATTTTCATATTTCATCTTTAAATTCTTTCGTTTAGTTGTATTTCTATTACACAAAATTTGTCTTCCCATGTACATGTGTAATCTATACAAAATCTGACAATTTTACACAATTTGTAGGTTGACAAAAAGCTCCGTGACCTTTTCGTATTATTATGTTTTTGAGAAATATATATTATCAGAAATAGATGTACAAAAATTTCCTAAACAAAACTAACAATATAATAGGTTTATAATTGTTGGGCTTCAACGTGTCTCCTTTGTTTTTCTAAACTGGTATCATGTTACCTAAACCATGATAATCATCTTTATCATAAACAACGATCTAGGTAAAATTCCCCTAATTAGAAAAATAAGTTAAACAATTCATGAAAAAATTCTATCATAATATGCCAGAATGCACAAATATGTTAAATTAATCATATTATTAATGAATATTTTTAGGATGACCATAATTTTGAAATCATACTAGTTATACTATTATTATATTATTACCAAGATTGAATGTAAATAATTGAACCTTGTGTATGTATGCGTTTGGGTAAGTTGGTGTTTTGGTCCTATTCATAACAAGTCTACTTGAACTGGCTATTAAATCCATGGTTTAATTGAAAGTTGAATTAAATTAAATCCATGGTAACTGCTTTTCCCTATAACATATACTTATGTGTGTCGTTTCTACTCTGCCTTTGGTCTATTATAATAACTTGATGTTAAACAAACACGCGACTTGTTTAATTGAAAACGAATTTATGTTTACTTCCTCTTTTGGTTCAATACAGCTTCTTTTTATACTCATAACTAAATTATTCACATTAGAAGGTCGGGGACATTTCAACACCAATGTTGAGTAAAATATAAGAAAAGTTTTTTATATGAGAGACAACGTTAACATAATTCAATTAATAGAGTATTATTTTTTACATTACTGTATAAGTTATACTATGTGATGTCATGTTAAAACATAGGCTGATATTTGTTAGACATGTATAAATGTGTAAATACTTTCCAAACGAACACTCCACCTTTGTTTTAAGTATTTTTATTCCTCTTTGTTTTGATATAAACATACCAGAGCTATGTGGTAAAAAGAACTTGTTGTATACTTCCTTGTTAAATAAATAAAAGTCTTGCTCTGCACAGTACTTAAAAAGATCTTATTTTTTGTAGTTCATTTACCGACAAGATTCGCATGTACATTGCCACATTATTTGCAAGTCCGATTGAGTATTATTTACACTAGAAAAGAGAGGCGAAAAATACCAAAGGGACATTCAAACTCATAAGTCGAAAATAAACTGACAAAGCCATGGCAAAAAAAAAAAAGACCAAAAGTCAAACAACAGTATACAAAACACAACATAGAAAACTAAAGGCTGAGCAACACAAACCCCACGAAAAAACCAAATGGAATTTTCAGGTGCGCCGGGAAAGTAATCATTTTCAAAGTTTTATATTGTTTCTATTTTAAACCAACCTCCGATCTATATAAAAATGATTGTGTATATGAGTTTATATGTTATGGAAGTTCTATTCAGATAAAATGGTTGTCTGTTTATTAATTTAATGTACATTATCTATATAACAAAGTATGATCTTTTTCGCCACCTTTTACTATTTACACCTGATATTTAAAATTATGAGATATGTATTAGATATCCAATTACTTAGTTTAGCATGTTTAAGTCAGCTGTTACAACTGTTTATCCATGTAAGAATGAAAATATAACAAAGGTTTCTCTAATGAAGAGGGCTGAGTACTATATATTGAGTGCAATCCCTAAACCTTATAAATATAACTTTGAAGCACATTTTGAACTAGAAAGTTTTACATATATCTAGAGATTTTCTATGGACCTCGTATATTCATATATACAAGTGATTGCATCTCATATAAATTATCACAATGAACCTGTGCGTCACATTTTCCTTGATATTGACAAAGATTGACAACTGCAAACCAGAATCTATGAAGAAACATGAGTATTTCATCTTTCCAATTGTCGACTTCCGATTTCTCAGCAGTAACATACCCTCTGACTAAGTGTATGTCAGAGTATGTCCTGGCATTAAAACTGCTCCCAAAAGATATGAGTTTAATTCCATTAATTGATACTGCATGAGTTGTCTGATCTGTAAATTTACCGATTGTATCATATTCCTGATTATGATATTTTGATAATGTGGATTTGCATTACGGTTGATGCATGCAGGAGACCTTTATCCTGTCGACGCAACTGGTCGCTACCCTTATGGAGCTCGTGCAATAAACTAAATGTGTTTGTTTACCTTGATTTTTATCTTCCTAATGAATGTATGAGAAAAAAGTAAAATAATAAAAAATTCCGAACTCCAAGGAAAGTTCAAAACGAAAAGTCTCTTAAAAGAGGGACGAAAGATACCAGAGGGACAGTCAAACTCTAGATTGAAAACAAACTGACAACGCCATGGCCAAAATAAAAAGACAAACAGACAAATAATAGTACAGATGACACAACATAGAGAACTAAAGACTAAGCAACACGAAACCTACCAAAAACTGGGGGTATATCAGGTGCTCCGGAAGGGTAAGCAGATCCTGCTCCACATGTGGCACCCGTCGTGTTGCTTATGTTATTACAAATCCG